TCACAGAATACCAGAGATTAGATAGCGTAAACAACCAAAATTATTTATCTCCCACCTTGGAGGCTGGGAAGTCCAAGAGCAAGGAGCCAGCAGAGCTGGTTTCCTGGCAGGCTTCTCCTCCCGGCTTGCAGACAGCCACACAGCCATCCCTTTCCTGTGTCCTCACCTTGGTCCTTCTTCTGTACATGCAAATGCAAGCTAGCTCTACTGTCTCTTCCTTTTCTTTCTTTCTTTTTTTAAAAATAAAACAACTTTATTGAACTAAAATTTATACACAATTTACAAACATAAAATGTAGGATTGGGCCAGGCATTTAGCTCAGTGGTTTCGCTGCCTGCTGCACAAGCGCAAGGACCAGAGTTTGATCCCCGGTACCAAAAAAAAAAATGTAGGATTGATTCAATAGTCTTTAGCACACTGACAGAGTTGTACAACTCTAACCACAATCACACTGAGGTCATTTTTGTTGTCTCAAATGAAAACACTCTACCTACTAGCTATCATCTCTTAATCCCTCCCTGCTAAATCTAGGCAACCTCTATCTTCATAGATTTTCCTCTTCTGGGGATTTTTTTTTCCACATAGACCATGTTCATAGCAATCAAGACCTTGATATATCCAAAGAAATGTAAATCCTGCACAGTGAGCTCCTGCACCATACTGGAGTGAAACCAGAGACTAACAGAAGCATACTCAGAATATGACTTTTTTTCTTTCTCTTCTTTTTCCTCTCTCTCTCTCTCTCTCTCTCTCTCTCTCTCTCTCTCTCTCTCTTTCTCTCTCTGCTTTTCTATTACATTCTCCTTTCTCTTCTTTCCTTTTCCTTTTCTTATAGGGACACTAGCCTTATGGGTTAAGAACCTGCCTTTATGACCCTCAAACATTACCTGCTAAAGGACCCTTCTTGAAATACAGTCATCTTAGGGTTTAGGGCTTCAACATATGGATTTGAAGGAGAAGAGGACACAATTTAGTCAATAACATTCATGTTTGTTTAAAATCTCCAAATTTAGTAAATAATAGAATAAGTATTCTCCTATGTTCGTATGTAAGAAAGGTATTCATTAACCAAGAATTTGGAAACTAACCTGGGATCATCCTATCCTACTCCAGGAAACATGCGTAAAGTTTTAAAAATTTGAGACAAATTACTCTTATCCTCACATTGGAGAAAAACCAAATTCTCATCTGGAACTCATCTGAGGAATATTCTATATGCCCCTGTATCAGCCCTTCTTTGCTGCTACAATGAAATACCTGACACTGGTAATTTATAAAAACAGAAATTTATTTCTCAGAGTTCTGGAGGCTGGGTATTCAGGATCCAGGTTCTGACAGGTTCAGTATCTGGAGAGGGCTTGGTTTCTCCTTCCTTGATGGTGTCTTGTTGCATCTTCCAGAGGGGATGAATGCTGTGTCCCTACTTAACAAAGGGGCAGAAAAGAAAAAGGAGGAACTTAAGCTAGTTCCCTGCAGCCCTAATCCATTCATGAGGGCTTCACCACTTCCCCCAATGCCCCACCTTCTAATACCACCATAATGGGTAGTAAGTTTTGACTTGAATTCTGGAGGGGACACATGCAAAGCCCAGCAGTCTCTAACGTCCTCTCTCCATCATTCCCCCATCCTAGTAAAGTCCAGTGAGAGATACTCTGACCTACATTCAGGAAGAAAGCTGCCCGATTGTTACAAATAAATGTCCATTCACCCCGAGTAAGAGTGTATATTGTGACGTTATTCCAAAATTTGATATCTAATTATTCCAAGAGCTGACTTAGAGCTGAACTAACAGGTGCTCAGTTAGTCAACTAAGGTAAGCCAAACGGCAAGTAACAATGAAATCTTATTTCTTTCACTCTAATAGAATAAGCAAGAAGCCAAACAAGAAAAAGTGTGGGCTTCCCTGTGCTCTGTTTTCTCCCCCAGAACAGCTCCAGGTGAGGGGTGGATATTGGGGGATTGTCTCACAGGCCCCAGGATGGTAGGCAGGGATAAGGGGTGGGAAAGCACTGGACACTAACAGAGTCAGGGCAGAAAAATGTCTTCAAAAGAGGCTCCTGAAGGAAGTGCCTGGGCTAGGAAGGCAGATGTGCTAGTCTGTGCCTCCCGAGATGACTTTCACCTAATGTACATTTTGATTATCACAGGCAACTGCAGTCAGAATGAAGCTAATTATCACCAACTTTTCTCTGGGATAAAGACACTGAAGATGCTATCATTAGATAGTGTTGTGCACTTTGTGAGGACTTTGCTATGTTCAAATTTGGAACTGGACACAACTGCAAGACCTCTTAATAAATAATATTTGGGATTTTGGGGGTTTTTTTCTTTTGGTACCAGGGATCGAACTTGGGACCTTGTGCTTGCAGGGCAGGTGGTGGAACCACTGAGCTAAAACCCTGGCCCAATAAATAATACTTGTTAAAGGCCTGAATATAACTAATGGTCAATTATTTGCTTGCCCTATAATGGCTTTTAATTGACTTCCTAGTTTTACTATTCTATTCACTGTATATAGTTTTAATTATAATTTCAAATCTTTTTGGTAGGAATAATTTTAATAGAAATAATCATAATAGGAACAAAAAAATTGAATAAAGATATTAATCTGGGTGTGGTGGTATATACGTATAATCCCAGGGTTTAGGATGCTGGGTCAGGAGGATTCAAGTTTGAGCCCACCCAGCCTAGGCAACTTAGTGATTTAGTGAGACCCTGTCTCAAAATTTAAAAGGTGGAGGGGAGGGGGTGTAGTTCAGTGCAAAAGCCCCAGACTCAATTCCTAGTACAAAAGAATAAAAAAAAAAAAAGGGAAAAAAAGATATTGAAATATAATATTCGAATATATGCCAACTAACAGGTAAGAAATTGTGACTCCTTCCTGGGGGATTTACATCCTACTAAAAGATATTTCAGATACTATCATGAACTCATGGCAATCCTCATTCTTTTACCTGACTCCAGACCCTAATTTGCTTCCTTGCTTAACATATTCCCTAAACTAGGACAGAAAAATTGGGGAAGGGTGGAACACAAAAGAGATGAAATTCACAGCCTGTATCAAGCCAAAACACGTTTCCACCCATTTGGTGGAACTTTTTAAAAGCTTACTAAGGCAAATCTAACTCTGCAAATGTATATTTTAAAAGGTTGGATATTGAATGTGGAAAGGAAAATGAACTGCTGTGCAAGATCGAAGTGTTGCGTGAAATTTCAGTAATTGTGCCCATTAACTGAAAAAATATTTGCTTAGGGTTGCTTTTCAGTTCACCCTTAGTAAGGCAATGGAACAGGAATGTGCTGGCCTGGGGAGCTCTCTTGCCTTTTCACCTACTACGTTTTCAAAGCTGGAACTTCAGCACTGCCTTCCTACATTAAGTGTATTTGCATACCTTCCTCCATGTAAATAAATACCAGTCTGAAGGCTAAAGACAGGCTGGATTAAAGTGGAAATTGGCGGAGTGGAGGAGGGACAGCCACTGAGAATCATTTTTCTGCCTCTCCTCATTGTGCCTCAGGCTTGGAATACTGTAGAGGAGCAAACAATGGCTTTCGTCCACCCGCTTAGGGTTCTTGGCTGAGCTACAAATTAAATTCACATAAAACCAGATTAATGGGAGAAAAACCAACAAAATATGAGACTCAAGAAGGGCCAGATAGGGCTTATGTAGTATCCTGAGCTTCAGGAAGCAATAAAGGCCTGGGGTTGTCTGGTGGGTGGTGGTGGACACAAGTTACTTGGGACGAGGGGAAGAAAAGTGTGGTGACTAAGTGATAAAAGTGTGGTCTTGTTATGCAGATAAAGTCTCAGGTAATCTCAGGTAATCCTCAGAAAAACAGGTGACAGGTGACTGCACAGTGTCCACCTCCAGTTGCTGGTGAACTCAGTTGATAGTCCCTGGTTGATAATTTGGATTCTTTTTTGGCAGGAAGGAGGAGTCAAGAAAATTGAGTTCCTTTTGGGGATCAGTCTTCAGGCAGATGAGAAGAGCTCAGGAAAAGCCTTTGCCTGACTCCACCTTCCCCAAGTGTCCTCATTCAAAGGGATATCAAAGCATATATTTAAGCATCATATTTTGGGGTGGGATTTCCAGAACTCCTTTAACACTCTAAGGTTAGGTAGAATGATATTAAAATTAGCTGTTAATTCCCTAGGTTTTTTTCCTGACTTAATTCATTATATATTCATTACAGGCTCTAGTATTTCCTTTCCTTGTTTTTTTTTTTTTTTTTACAGTTGATTTAAAACTCCTCCCTAGAACTATGGAAGTTCCTCAAGAAACTGAAAATAGAGATACGCTTTGATCCAGGTATCCCACTTCTGCGTACATATCAAAAGGGAATGAAATCAGCATACCAAAGAGACACCTTGACTCCCATGTTTGAGTGGCTCTGTTAAAAATAGCTAAGATTGGGCTGGGGGTTTAGCTCAGTGGTTCTGCCGTCTGCCTAGCAAGCATGAGGACCAGAGTTTGATCTCCGGTACCAAAGAAAAAAAAATAGCTAAGATAAGGAATCAACCTTGATGTTTACCAATAGATGAATGGATAAAGAAAATGTGGTATGGAGCCAGGGATTTATCTCAGTGGTTCCAGCACCTGCAAGTGCAAGGACAGAAGTTCGATCCCCAGTATAAAAAAAAAAAAAAGGGAAAATGTGGTATGTATACACAATGAAACATTATTCAACCATAAAAAAGAATGAAACATTCTCCTTTATAGCAAATTAGATGGAACTGGGCGGCATTAAGAGAAATAAATCAAACATAGACAAATTCTGTGTGTTTTCTTCATATATGGATGTTCTTAAAAGTTGATCAGAATGCATAATGGTGATTACTCTGAGACTGAACAACAGTTACTCCATCTTTGTAATAGGCCCCCAACTTTCTGCTTCTGTTACGGATCACCAGATAGACATCAAGTTCCAGGGATGTGCTTGTTGTTGTGCCAGGAAGGTCTGTTGTGTGCATAGTGTTCTGTCATGCTTGCCCAACTCCATATCTGAATATGTTATCTTAAGGACAATCTGTAAAAGGTCTGTTTTATCTCTCTCCTCCGCTTTTGTGTTTCTGCTTGCCAACATCCCCTGAGACCCCCTATAAAAACAGCTTCGGACTCTGAGCCAGTTGCCTCTCTGAGCTACTTTGCTTAGGGAGTGCCATCTGGCTAGACTAATAAGGGTCTGTTTTACTTTCCAACTTGTCCAGTGTGTTCCTTCCCAGGTGTTCTTTGCTGCAGTCAGCTCCTCGGAGCATTTGGTAAGGCCCTTGGTCTTACATTCTGGAGGCCCCAGTGAGACCCCTGGGTAGGAACCCCCGGTTTGGCCGAGACTCCGTGGGGGGATCCAGCAGGAGACTCTCAGGCACAGACCTCAGAAAACCTCCAGAGGTAAGCTTTTGGCCAGTTGCAGCCATTTGTTAAGTCAGGAGTGAGGTGGCTGATGAGCAGGGAAGCCTCCCCTGACCCTGAGGTTCCTGACGAGGAACAAGGGAAGATTTAGTTTCAGTTTGTCATGGTGCCCGTTAGTCTTGTCTTTTGTATGTTAATGTTGTGTCTGTTGTGTGTTTGATTTTACATTTTTTTCTTTCCAATCTTCATCAGGAGCAGAGTAATGGGAGGAACCTGCTCTACTGGGTCCATTACGCTTGACTGTGTTCTCACTAATTTTAAATTGGCTTTTTCTCCAGAACAAGCAGATGAATATGGGGTGAAATTCTCTCGCAGAAAACTCCACTCCCTGTGCCAATTGGAATGGCCAGCCTTTGGGGTGGGATGGCCAGCCAAAGGGACTTTTGACCCCAGTGTTTGCTGGGAGATTTGGGGCAAAGTCACTGGTCGCCCTGGCCACCCAGACCAATTTCCCTACATAAACATCTGGGTTCAGGCTTATGAGAAACCTTCAGCTTGGCTGCAGCGCTGTTCCCTCCGAACAGACACTTGCATTTTAGTTGCTGCCCCAAAAGAGCCCTGGGAACTTAAGCCCCGGGCTCCTAAGCCAGTTCTCTCACAGGAACCTGACCCCCTGAATCCCTTAGGAGGGCCTCTGCCCTATGTGGACTCCTCCACCCCCTCAGATGGCTCCCACTCTAGACCCCACAATCCTTCCCTTCCTCCATCTGCTCAACCTTCGGCTCCTACTCCTCTCTATCCTCCTCTCCCAGAGGGGCCTCAGTCCCCAGACTCTGTGACTTCTCCCCCACACACAAGAGCTGGGGCTGCATATGGGCCTTGCAAGGTCCCCACTGGGGAAATTAGTTCTGCCCCTCTCTTGCCTCTTCGGGAGACAGAACAAGGTCACTATGTTTATATCCCTTTCACTACCAGTGACTTATATAATTGGAAACATCAAAATCCTCCCTTCTCAGAGAAGCCCCAAGCCCTAATATCTCTCCTAGAGTCTATCTTCCATACCCATGATCCTACTTGGGGTGATTGCCAACAACTCCTCCAGGCCCTTTTTACCTCAGAGGAGAGGGAAAGGATCCAGGGACAAGCTGTGAGGTTGGTACTAGGTGGACCGGAAGGAGCACAGCTCCCATCCACCCAACCCCGCTGGCAAACTAATACCTCGGGTGGGAGAGAAGCTCTCCAGAACTATCGTCAGCATCTCCTGGCCGGCCTGAGGGGAGCCGCTTGGAAGCCTACCAATTTGAGCAAGGTAAGCAAGGTCCTTCAAGGACCAGAGGAATCCCCTTCTGCCTTTTTGGAGTGTCTGTTGGAAGCATACCATAC